TGTATTGTTTTTAAAACCAATAAAGCATTAAGAAAAATAATAAATAAATGAACTACAAATCCCATCATCCCTAGCTAGTAGGTCAGGGATGATGGGAGCTATAGTCCAAAAACAGCTGGAGACCCACATTTGGGAAACCCTGCTCCACATAATACCCTATTCCCTTAGCTGCTAATTTTGTTCGCAGCCCTTGCTACAGGCACCTAAATACAGATGGATATGAGCCCTAAGGAAGTACAATGGGTAAAGTCAAAAAATAGACTGCAAAACTTTCTAAAGAATATGGTGATAATATTTGTGCAAAACACAACGGTGAAAGCTGTTGCTGTTTTTTGTTTTTGTTTTAAATGCAACTGAATTAATTATTTTAAGAGTGTTCAATGTTTTTCATTTATTTGTTTAAGGACAACATTTCAAGGAAGGATTTGCTGAACTGGCGCTCCTTACAGTAAGTTATCTCCTATCATTATTATGTGTGTTACATGCCCACCAGAACAGCCTGTTTTGCCGCCAGGGAAGCAATGAAGCAAGGGTCAGTAAGATGTACATCTAAGTACATTCTAAAAAACACCAGTGCCGATAGCTTCAAGCCAATACGTAAAACAGAGCTTTTGAACATTTTTCCCCCCTTACAAAAACAAAACAGAAGGAAAAATGGTTTTGCACAATGCATGGCAACAAAGGAACTAAATGATTTCATGCTTTTTAAAAACAACAACAACTGTGGAATACATTTCAGACAAAGTTAAGCATTTGGAGGGGTATTTCAAAAAAGTTCTATGCAGGCCTTGTTTGCATGTCACAGTAAACCATGGTTTGTGCTTTACTGTGAATGAGTACATTGCTCGTACTTGGCTCCTCCCTTTAGTGTGAATGTAAACAAACTATGAAGGCTTGTGAATCTGTGAATGTGAACCACATCCTGCATTTGCTTATCTCAAGAAGCCAAACTTCAGGTTTCCTGAAGTCCTGCTTAGGGAAGAACAAACCGGGAGGTATTTGCTTTTTTCAGGGTAAGCCATAAACTACAGACGGCTACCCTGTCACCCTCCAGTTGTTGTGGACTCCAAATCCCAACGTCCCCATCCCATGGTCAGGGATGATAGGAGCTGTAGTTCAACATCTGGAGGATTGCAGGTTAATCAATCGCACTATAAACCATGGTTTGCTGTGACATCAACCAGGCCACTTGCTTAATTTCCTGTTGAAATTAGTGAGATATACAAGTGCTTAATCTTGCCAGGATTGTGGTCTATGGTCTTCATTGTGATTCCTCTCATAGCTGCATCCCACAAAGGATTGGCTGGTGTAGTCTTAAAGATAGCTATTAGTCCATGGGAACAACCTACCAGCAAAGTCATGAAATCCTAGGAAGGTTTGGATTTATGCCAGCTTAGTCTTTCTGAATTTTTCTGGGACTCAGCTAATTCAAATCCAAGGATTTAGGTTTAATCAGTTTGTGGACTTGGTTCTTAGGAAACTTTTAAAAGTGAGCCTCTGTTTTACTGCATTCCACATGAATTTCTATTATCCCAGTATGGCATTGTGGTTTTATTTTTTAGTTTCTCTGATGGGGGAAAATGCAAGTATTTTCTTTTTGAAGGCAGACAACATCACATACTCAAACTGTGCTAGTTATTGGGACTATGAACAAAAGACAGAGGGGCAGGCATGGGAGATTTGAATTGGATGGTCAGTACTGGAATATGTTGATGTCAAAACTGACATCTTAAGTAAACTCTAGTGTGAAGGCAAATCTTTGAATGGGACAGTGGAACTACATGTCATAAGGAACCCAGTGTTGCTGCCAAAACGAACAATAAAACTCCCCTTACAGCTAGATGTCATAATGTAATGCATGTCTGCAATCTCAACAGCCAGTTACGGAAAGACGGAAAATGCACAAAACAGTGGCATCAGAAATAGGCCACATGTTTTACTGCACACTGTGGAGGGGGAAGATGAATATTTAATATAAGGGTTCCACTTTTGGCAGCAGACTACTTTTATTTTGTGCAATTGGTGGTTCCACCCTGAAATTTATCTGTAATAAACATGTATAGGGCTGCAAAATTTGAATTTCACTCCTGGAATCCATCCTACTCTGCTTGAGCAGATTCTGTTGGGATGCTTAAAGCCTTTTACCCATCCAACCTCAAGCAAGGGAACAGATATACCACAGATCTTTCCACTTTCAGCTCACTAGGCTTGCGGCTTTTGCTTTTTTGACATGGAAAGCCCGGCGAAGGTTGGGCAATTATCTGGATGCTGTGATTTCCCTTCCCCCAGATTTTCTTTCTTAATCTAGCCCCCAGATCTATAAAGCACCAGTTACACAACTGGAGTGACAAAAATCAATTAACAATCTACTAAGCTCTTCTGGCTGAGTGGCCACCGCCAATTTGCGGAGAGGGGAATAATTTGGAATTGATTTTCTTCTTTTTCCTTTTTTAATCGTTAAGTTCAGTAAAAGTGCAAAGGTTCTCAGAAGTGGGAAACCTATATGGGATGAAATCTTGTTTAAGCCTTACTGAGTGAAACTGACGGAACGAATGGTACCTTAACAGCATGGGAAGCCTCTAAAGTGCATATCCTTCCTGTGGTGCTCTGGGATCATTCAGGAGGAGCTAGCAATGCAGATTTCCTCCACAATGTTATCATCCACGCTGATGCCACTTCAGAGGCTCTTCCCACCTGCTCTGAAATGAAGGGGCACTCACATTTGCCTCTGAGCTAGAAATTATAACAATTATATACCACCTTTATCCTCAAGGTGGTGTATGTGGTTGTCCTCTTCATTTCATCCTCACAGCAGTCCTGTGAGGTAGGTTAGGCTAAGAGATGGTGAGTGACCCAAGGTCACCCAGTGAGCTTCATGGCTGAGTGGGGATTTGAACCCTGCTCTCCCAGATCCTGGTCTAACACCCTAACCATTACACCACACTGGTTCTCCATGTTAACAAGACAGAGTAAAGAACTAGCAGCTATTTCACCCTCCCAAACAAGTTTGTTGGGGACATTCTGCAGGGAAACACAATGTTTGAGAAACCTATGACAACATTGTCCTGTTGGTTGCTCATATTCAAGACCAAGAGGCATAGCTTCTATCTAGCATGACAGCGAGCAGACGGTCCTGGCACCATGAATTGCACCATAAATCTCTAGCTGAAAGGAAAAGAATCTGGGGGCTGTGATAAGAAGGCTGCAGAGATTCTGGGAGTTGGAAAGGAGTATTAAATATTCAGAACAATTGAAAACTGCCCACCTTTTCCTAGGCTGCGGGGGAAATAGCGAAGATCTGTGACATGGTTTACTAGTGAGACGGAATGGTTTCTAGGAAACTGTCGCCTGTTCTGAGACATCGAAGCAAGGGATGGAGAGATAAGACCTCTGAGAAACTTTGAGATTCAGTTCTGCACCAAGTCACAATGGAAGAAAACAACAGTTGGGAAGTGAAAGAAACAACATCATATATGGACAGAAGGAATCTCTATGGACCTAACAGTTTTCACACACAGGGCAGAATAGTTCCTCACTTGAAGCTTTATAAATTTGTATCTTATAACATCACGAATGGAGATAATTAATTATGTAGTTGTTGACTAAGGGATTATTATAATAACTGAAATGTAACTGACATAAATTAAGATCATGGAACGCAGTGATATAAGATCAGAAATGCACCCAAACCACCATACGGGGAGCCACTTTAACTAAAATGTATTAATTGGAAGTTGATTGGCATTTTGATAATTGTATCATTCGGGAATTAATTGTTATTGTTATAATTTGGCTACTTTGGGGGGTATAGTGGAAAACTAATTTTAAAAAATTATATATAAAAAAATAGTTTTAACAGGCTGCACAATAATCTTTCGTGCCCTCTCTACATTGCTGCTGAAAATCCAAACCATTTCTCCGTTTCTCTGTGACATGGAAGTATCACCGCTAAGATAAAACATTGCAAAATACAAAATTGCAATGGGCAGGGTGGAGGACAGAAAGAGGAGACCCATTAAGGAGCAATTAACAGTCAAAATTTCACACTTAACAGAAATTCTGGTACCCATTGAAATTTCTTGAGTATTTCTGAAGTCCCTTATACTCCAGTCTGAAGGACCTTTATCGTGTCTGGGATGCCAGAGGTTTCCAGAACCTTCAAGAAGAACGCCACCAGCAGGCCTTTTGGCACACTGTAACCATATATGTACAGATTAACCTTCTCCAACTGGATGTCCAGATGTTTTGGACCACAACTCCCATCATCACAGTTGGGGCTGATTGAAGATGTAGTATGAAACATCTGGATGACCCCAGGTTGGCAAAGGCTAGCATGTGATTGGCACAGGATCCCTAAGGGCTCTTTAGCATGTGAGGCAAAAGGGGTGGATCATCTTTGGGGTGCCTCCTTCTGACCGGCATACTTGGAATACCACCCTAATTGCAAGGGGATATCCTCTTACCACCGCCTCAAAGAGAGTCTATCATTTTAAGAAAACCAGCTCCTTTGACTCTCTCAGCACCAACGCAACCTGATCCAGGTACTTGGGAATATTTGCTACATAAGTTGTTGAAGTTTTCATTATCGACATTGTTGAGACCTAGTTGTACGTGAAAGGCGTTTGCAAAGGGTTTGATGCCTCCCTTCTCTTCCGCCTGCAAAAAGCTGCCACACCGTTGGTGCAGTAAATTGGCAATCTCACATTGTGCTTCGTTTTTAAGTGCTTATGTTGTCGTTTGGCAACAGACCGGAGTGGCTTCTAAGTAAACGTAAAAGCTGCACGTGTCGTTTGCAGAGAACAAGACAGCTCAGATGTGATGACTTACTGGGCATACAATACACAGCCGTTACTCTGCCCCCCCTCCCACCCCCCACCCCCAATCATTATATCAGAATCTCAAGCATCAAAGCTGAGCTCCTGGGCCTATTTTCTACAGATTTCTGTGCACACACAGAAACAAATGGCTACAAACGGACGCTCATCGCCTTCCCGACTCTTTCAATCCAACACAGAGGAAGCAGCAGGGCGAACACAGCAATTGGGGCGCCTGAAATTCTGCATCATGGACTGGAAAACACTGTGCTGCCTCCCTTTAAGTTTTCTATTTGAAGATGTATCCGAAGAAACAGATTTCCGGGTCTGGCTGTTTTGGGCCTTAATCAGTTTTTCGTGTTCTCTAATCTGCCTCTGCAAGTGATTCTGGATGGCGACCCCCAATGACTCAGGGTCAAGAGAGGCCCCGTAAACCTCCCAAGTCATGCCCTGCTCGTCCCACACGACATCCCGGACGCGCTTAGACTGCTTCAGGTGCCCTTTGCCCTCCGCGGCAGGTTTTCCTTCCTTCTTCTTCTCGCCCAGCTTTTGCAAGGGCAAAGCGGGAGAGGCTGAAAGACTGCCCTTCTCTCCCTTCTTAGTTCTGTTGCTTTTGGTTCCTAGGCCAGGGCCAGAATTTCTACTCAACCCAGACTCAGCTTCCAGATTCTGAATGCCAAATCCTCTTGCCTCTTTGTCTGGAAGTTTATCCTGCTCAATTTTTGCTGTGGCTGGGGCACACACAGTCGGGGGCGCAGTAGCCACTGCTGGAGTGTTAGTTGTCCCCTGTTCCTTCGGACTGAGAGGGATGGATTTCCCTTCCCCCTTTGGTTTGACGTCCACGTGGAGGCTGGCTGGAACCGTCTCAAGACTCCTAACCGTCTCAGTGCGCAGCTGCTCTCTGCACCCGCTATCGGGAGTGCCGCCAGCGGTGCGGAGAGCCTTGTCTTGTTCAGATATGCTGCAGGAGGCTGGAGGCGTCTGTTGGCTTTCCGCAACAGAGGAGGGTCCAAGATGCTGAGGTTTGCTATTGATTCCTGGCAGAGCAGAAGGTGGAGGTAGCTTGGTTTCGCTGCGCACGGGGTGCGGGGAAGCGCTGCCATTGACAGTAATCTGGTCAATCGGTGCTGTCTTCAGCATGACTGAAGCGTCCGGCAACTGCTGGGAAGCAATGCTGTGCTGGCTGGCTGCATTTGCTGTTTGTGCTTCTGTCACCTTGGACGACGTTTCTTGCACACCGTCAGGGCAGGGATACATCGCGTTGCCTGACAAAGTCGAGTGGGCTGTATCAGGAGTGCCTGCTGTGCCCTCTTGAAGTTTGACAGCCTGAACTGCCAACCCCTCGTCTACTGCAGCTGCTGCCTGGATATGGGCTTCGGTCACGGTGGCAGCAGACACAGCTGTCTGGACAAGCGCCGCAAAGTCATCGACGATTTCCGACTGCTCCTCCCCACCGGCTCCTGTGTAAATAATGTGCAACTGCTCTTGTTTCTGTGTTGCCTGGGGAGGCATGTTTTCCCGTAAGAATGCAGCAAAGATGCTTGGGCTGGTGGACGCTGATCTGCTTTCCATGCTGGCTACAGCCTGCACCCCAGCATCCTGATGGGTCCTGATGGCCAACTCCCCACCCTCAGGTTGCATCATCATGGTCCCTGTGTCCTTCAGCTCAGAGGGCTCAGGCCCTACCTTCTCCGCAGCCTTGTCACCGCACGAAGGCTGTGGTGTGCTCCCAAGGCTGGGTTTGGGGACCATCTCTGGTGAAGTTCTTGAGCCTGCCTCCTTTGAGCCCTTTGGCTCTGCATCCGAGCAACCGTGGGCCTTCAGCGCAAGATCAGAGACAGGCTCCAGTTCCTTTGCTGAGTCTGGCACCTGCTTCACTTCGGGACCAATCCTTTCACCCACAATTTCCTTTGTGGTTGGATCAGCTTGCTGGGCATCTGAAGGAGGAGAAGACCTGCCATGAGCTGTGCTCTCTGTGACTCTGCCACCACCACCTCCAGGCAGAGAGCTTGCCTTATCTGCTGCACTGCAGAGTTGCCCTCCAGCACCACTTGGCACAATTTCATTGGCTTCCTGGGTAGCAGGTGCCTTGACTGCAGCATGTTCTTTTGCTGGGTCTTGGCCTTGAGCTCCGGCATCACTACTGCTTTCCCGCTCAGAGTTATTCCCCGGCTCCAGAACTGCTAGGCAGCCTTCTTTGGATGGGCTGGAAGACCCAGGAGAAAACATTCTTGTTTTCCCAGTGTCATACCCACAATGCCGTTCGCCCGTTGCAGCATCGGCTTTCTCCCCACAGTTCCCTTCAAGCAGGCGATCTCCAGTGGGTTGCACCTTGGCAGTGAAAGGAAATCCATTACTGTTGCTCTCTATGCTCGCTTGCTTGTGCTGGTGTTTAGAGGACTGCAACCTTTTCAGGTCGTTTTCCTCCTCGGAAGCGGTGACCAGTGGACGCTTGGCAGACCTCAGAGGATCTGGTACAGTCCCCATGGGAATGCAATTTGCGTTGCAAGGCACCCGTCAGCTTCGCCCAGCTTCTGGCTGAGAAGGGCCTAGGCGGAGAGAGGTGCGGCCACAAGCGTCTCTTCCTCGCAGCTGGTCTGTTAAAGAGAGACAGAAATATTTACAAAGTCAGATAAAAAGCAATGAAAATATCCAGTGTAGGCTCTGTACCCAAGCAGGTTCAAGATGGGGGCAGTGGAGGCTGGACCATTAAGCCAAGCAGGGCACTGTGCCACCCACTCACCCCGCCTGCCTTCCCACATACATCCATTCCAGGGGGTGCCACTGTCTGCTACGTTCCTTTTCTTCAAGGGAGGAGGATGGCAGCAAAGGTAGAAATAGTTGGCTCTGCCAGCTGCCACTGAATGAGGGGTATTCCTCCAGATAATAATAATAATAATAATAATAATAATAATAAAATAAATAAATAAATAAATTGTATTTATATCCCGCCCTCCCCAGCCGAAGCCGGGCTCAGAGCAGCTAACAGCAGTAAAAGTAACACAGCATTCTAAAATCAATAGAATTTTAGAATTCTATTGGGGAGGGGACAGGGAATGTGTCCATTGGGCTTTCGTTTCACACAATGACACATAATATGCAGCTGGGCTATCATCAGGTGTTTCCCCCTTTCCATGCTGAGAAAAGATTGAAAGCAACTTTGAGCAGGACATCCATTTTATGTGGAAATTATCTCCGCCCGGGGAAAAATACAGGATAGGCTCCAAAGAGCTACCACCTGGCTTCGGCGTACTCAAAAGCCTGGCATGCCCAATGGACTGCTCGTATTTTGATCAGGAGACTCCATGGCCAATCACCACCTGCTTTCGAAAGGCCCCTCAATCTCGAAAGCAGTTTGCCACACAGCTTGGGAGTTCCAGAAAAAGAAGTCCAAATCTTCACTGGGCTGAACAAGCCTTTAGAGCCCATTCATAACGTACAATCTGGTTCTCAGGCAGTGACCTTGACCACATTTGCAGGAGAGCTTGCCCAACATTTTCCCTCTAGGGTTTTTACTAGGTAATAACGCCTCTGGGAAGAGATTCTTGGCACTGTGATATTAACACACCTCACATTCAGGTTTGGAGGGTTTAGCCTATTGTGTAATCCCCTGTCAGCAATCCACCAGCTCTGCTAAGATTGATTTTGATAAAACGCACAGAGAACAAGAGCCATATTATGCCAGTACAGAAATGAGCCAGGAGAAGGCTGGACATCCAAGCCAAAAAAGCAGATCCCGCTAACATGCAGGGCTATGTTTTAAGATCCTTTAAAACACACCTAGTTAGAATGCCTACATCAAATACAACTGCAAGAGCTTGAATTAAACCAATTTGCTTCTTGGTTATCACTGAATATTGCTTCCTTTTGTTCCCAACAATTACAATATCTTTCTAAGTATGTAAAATTGCTTCACATCTCTTACCCTTGTAACTTTCAAACTGTGGGAAGGCTTCTAAGGCTGCCCTGGTTAAGGGTGGAGTTCACTGCACTCCAGAAAAACAAATGCCTGAACATTCACCCCCTCCTCCCAGAAGTAATGAATCGCCCCAGGCTCTGGAACAGGCTTTCCCAAACTTAGGTCTCTAGCTGTTTTGGGGGTACAATTCCCATCTTTCCTGACCACTGGTCCACCACTGGTCCTGCTAGCTAGGGATGATGGGTGTTGTAGTCTAACAACAGCTGGACACCCAAGTTTGGGAAAGTCTGCTCCAGAACAAGGCTGAGGGATGCCACATGAATGCTCTTTCATGCTAAATTGTTTGCCTTCAGCAGTGGTGTCCAAACTTTTTTCAAAGAGGGCCAGATTTGATGAGGTGAAGGGCCGTGAGGGTCAACCAAAGGACCAACCAAAGTTGTTGACCTTTTTTGAGTTGTTGAGCTATTTTTTAGGATTGAAGTTGTTGAGGTTATTTTAGGATTTTACCCCAGGAAATAAACTGCCTCATGGACCGGATGTACATTAGGCCCCAGAAACAGACTTTGGACATGCCTGCAAGGCAGACTGTTGGACTCCAACTCCCATCAGCCTCAGCCAATGGCCAGGAATGATGGGAGTTGTGGGCCAACAGCATCTGCAGAGCTGTAGGAAACCTGCTACAGTTAATTCCAGTGTCTCAGTGCTAGACGGTCTTGGTCAACGTTAATTTTCCTCTGTTGGCTAAGCATAATGATTTATTTCCTTTAAAAAACAAAACAAAACCATAGTGTTGAATGCAGCCATGTGTTCGGATCTTCAAAGAGGATACTGTGAAAAGCAGAACAGGGAAGGAGAAGCCTGATGGGCAAAATTACACCATGTCACAAAGGGGCATAAAGAAGGAGAGAGAAAAATACAATGAAGTACAAGCACCTACTCTCAGAAGAATTGCAAGCTGAAAATTTGCAGTGTTTATAGCCCAAGTCAATAACCAGAGGTTTGGGTTTTTTAGAAAGACAGTCAAAGACTGCTTTTCCAAATAGCTGAATTAAAGTGCAAGTGTTACAGCCAAGGCTTCATACAAATCCAAGCCCATTCTCATAACTCTTCATGTACTGACCTCTTCATTCAAAAGAACGGCTAGGCAAGGCCATCTGTCAGCAAACAAATGGACAGTTTCTCATACATAGGCTCCAAAAAGAGGAAACGCTTTGTTGAAGCAACTTCCCTTGAAGTCTCCGACAATTTCACTTTTCTTCTGGTGGCTAGGCATAAACACTTCAGGGTTGTGGAAAAGAAGTACGGTGATGATTTAGTTCCCAAATCTCAGCTGGACTAAAACATATAAAAGCCTGGGGTTTAAAATCTGAACTGCAAGTGCCATAGAAGCAGTTATATAAAGCTATTTCACATTGAAGCAATGTATTAAAAACCTCCCCACGTTACCACCAACATCCACGAGGACTTGTTTCATGGAGAAAGTAAGAAGAATTTTATACATGGTGAAATATACTCGGAGTCCTGTAGTGATTTCATGCTCTTTATTGCAGCTTGTAAAACAGTGATTTTTTGCCCCCCCAAACCTCAGGCTTTTATATACATTATTTACACAATGAGTCCCGTCTGATTGGCTGATTCTGCTTCCCTCCTGGAGCCTGATTGGTCTTTTCCTGCAGGCCAATCAGTTCTTGCATTCTACGATCCTACTAGCCTAATAGGCTGATTAACTTCCTCCTAGAGCTTGATTGGTCTTCTCCTGCAAGCCAATCAGTTGTTGCATTCTAGGATCCTACTTGCCTACTGTTCTAGGATCCAAGCTTAGTACATAACACATGGTAAGCTGCTTGTGAGTTCCAAAAGCAGACCAGGCCAGGTAGAAGAAGAAGAAGAGTTTGGATTTGATATCCCGTCTTTCACTCCCCTTCAGGAGTCTCAAAGCGGCTAACATTCTCCTTTCCCTTCCTCCCCCACAACAAACACTGTGAGGTGAGTGGGGCTGAGAGACTTCAAAGAAGTGTGACTGGCCCAAGGTCACCCAGCAGCTGCATATGGAGGAGCAGAGACGCAAACCCGGTTCCCCAGATTACGAGACTACCGCTCTTAACCACTACACCACACTGGCTCTATAGCCCTGACTCCTTCAATACTCACACACTAATATATGCATACTAAGAGTAAATAATGCTACAGGAATCGTATGGACTGTGAAAAGGCTGACTAGGGGAAAAAACACACCCTTTAGCAACTAAATCACAGAATCCTAGAATTGTGGAGTTGGAAGGGACCACAAAGGTCGTCTAGTCCAAGCCCCTGCAATGCAGAAATCTCAATGAAAGCATCCATGAAATATGGCCATCCAAACTCTGCTTCAAAACCTCTAAGGATGGAGAGTCTGCAACCTCCTGAGGGAGATGGTTCCACTGTCTAATAGCTCTTACTGTCAGAAAGTTCTTCCTGACAGTAACTTGAGCCTTACCCTCCAGAGCAGGAGAAAACAAGTTTGCTCCATCTTCCATGTGACAGCCCTTTAGATATTTGAAGATGGCTATCATATCTCCTCTCAGTCTCAGCTTATCAAAGCTATTCTGTGAAGACAATACAGCAGTACCTTGGAAGTTGAATGGAACCCATTCCAGATCCCATGTCCGTTTGAAGCCGTGTTGGACGTTTGGGTTCCAAAGAACGTTCGCAAACCAGAGCACTCACTTCTGGGTTTGCGGCGTTCAGGAGCCAAAACGTTTGACTCGAAAGGCGTTCGGGATCCATGGTACGACTGTACTGACTTAGATAGACCAAAGACAGCTTCTTGTGTTCCTGGACTTCAAAACCTTCTGAGGTAGCCTGTTCAACTGTTGAACCGCTTGTGCCCTAAAGTTTAGTGAAAAATCCTCTTCCTTGTAATTTGAGCAGTGTTGGTTCAGGCCATACCCTTTGGTGAAACAGAAAACAAGGCCCTATCTGTTCCACACATTCAGAGAACTACTCTACCACCTTCAACGAAAGAATCCAAGGAACTGTGGTTTGTTAAGGGTGCTAACTGCTCAGAGTTGTATGAGATCCCTGTTCCTCTGAGAGTTACAATTCACAAAGGGGTTTAAAAATAATCCCCTCTTCTCAGAGAACTCTGGAAATTGTAGCTCTGTGAGGGGAGTTGGGGGGGGGTCTCCTAATGACTCTCAGCAACCTTAACCAACTGCAGCTCCCAGAATGCTTTTGAGGATGCCACAGTTGTTTAAACTGGTATGATATTGCTTAAAATGTATAGTGCAAGTGGGGCTAAAGAGATAGCTAAGAGAGGGAGTCTGGGGTTATAAATTTCAGTGGCAAGTCAGAGGAAGCAGAAATAAGTTATAAGGAATATCTATCTATCATCTATCTATCTATCTATCTATCTATCTATCTATCATCTATCATCTCTCTCTCTCTCTCTTTCTATCATCTATCTATCAGAATGAGAGAGATCCTGTGACGAGGAACTCCTGGTAAGAACATGGAGTAAGGAACTATTCTGGGTCCTTGAGTGTTTTATATGAAACAGGAATCCTTGTATCTTTCTAAGCTCCTCTTCCTCTTTTCTCCTTTTTTAAAAATGTCATTTGTCTACTATTGATTATCATGGTTTCTGCTGAGCTATGGAACTCATTGCTGCCAGATCCGGTCAACGAAGGATCGTTGTCTTTCATTCTTTACTAAAGCTTGCTGTAAAGGTGTTTCCTGTTTAAAAGCAAAAAGCTAAAGCTGTGTGCTGTGAGCATGGAGCATGAATAAGCTTTGCTGCCCTTCCACACTTGAGAGTCCGAGAGCTATTAGGCATTAGCGCTGGTGTGCCAACATTTCTCCTCTGGGGGACAGGGCTGCATTCGCAGTGCCGGCTGGTTGCAAAATGAGTATCATTTATTTATGATACGGCTGTCAGCTTGATTTCTTAAGAGAAAATATAGATGTATTGAGACCTCTGTGCACTGAGACATGCGCCATCTGGGCTGCAGGTTTGCTTTTCAGAATCAAAGAGGTGGTAGGTGCTGGGTTTGCTTACTGCAAACACTTACTGCAAACACCTCCCACCTCAACAGGAAATGCAGGAGATCCATGGTGGAATTTCTATTTCCATTTCTACTTATGAGTAAATTGGATCACAGCAGCAATGTACAGCAAGGCGCGCCCCCCCCCCACTTTTAAGTGAAGACAGAAAGGCACCTCTAGACCAGTGTTTTTTTGTGGTATTCTGTGACATGTCATTGACACAACAGTAACGCATTAGTAATGGATTTATACCGGACCGTCCGCACATCGTTCCCCTGTTAGGTGATGCTTCTGCAATGTCATGGCATTAATGCCATCTGGAGGGGCGCTCTTGCAGTACACCCAACTTCCCCAGAATATTTACAGTATGAAAGGTTACAGGATTTCACTAGGAACTTGCGGGACATGCACAAATTTGAAACCAAGCAGTTTGTTCGTCCTGAAACTCTTACTGGCACAAACAGCACTGAAAGTATAACTGCGCTGGTAACATTGTGGACACAAATGATCACGAACAGGGGTCAGCAAACGCTTTCAGTAGGGGGCCTATTTTTCAGGCTACAGAAAGTGTTTAAAAGAACGCACCATTTCTAAGGCACGTACTCTCCCTTGCCAAAACCCAAGCCTATTTATTGCCCAACGCTGCAAAGAGATTTATTTCTCTTTCCAAGGTGAAAGGCGAGGAGACGTGGCTTGTAAAGGACATACAGTAGTTAAATCAAACAATACCCCAACGAAGTGACAGCTACAAGAGTTATTTAGGAAAAAGTTGTTCTGTAGCTCTGGGTACCCTGGCAGGAACGTTATTTATTGGCCAAACCACGGACCAATGTTTGCATAATGGCCTTTTGTATGCTTATCTGCATGGTCTTGTTTAATATCTGGACTTAGAGGTTGATCAAAGGCAAAGGCCTGTTAAAATAAGACTGCACTAATTAATAGCTGAAAAATAAAGGGGAACAATTATACCAAAAAATGTAAGAAGAGCCCTGGCGGATCGGGCCAAAGGCTCATTTTCACAGTGGCCCACCACATGCCTATGGGAACCCTGCAAGCAGGACACGACGGCAATAATTTTCCGTTCATGATCCTCAGCTGTTGGTAGTCAGAGGCACATTGTCTCTGACAGCGGAGGCAGGCATAGCTCTTGCAGCTAGTAGCCATTAATAGCCTTTGTGACATGCTCCCTCAGTGAAGATAGGAGAAGGGCAACATGACCGTGTCTGAGGAGATTTAACCTTGCTCACAGAGAATTCTGGAATTCACCTTATGTGGTAGCGTATATAATCTTGATATTTGGGTTCCCATGACAACTTATTCCCCGAGAGAGGTATAAATCAAAGTTGAGACACAATGGAAATGGAAACTGTATTTTATTACCAATTCTACTCATGTAAAAACAGCTTGGCAGCTTCACTCTCAAAGGCACAGCCCTTCTATTCTGCCCGAAACACTGTTCCAGGTTTAAACAAGAACTTTACCTGGAATTATCCACCACAGAACTGTTTCTGTTACAGCTATCTCCCCCAGGGATGGCTATCTGCTTTACTCTTCCCGTAAAAGCACCTCTAGACCCTTTCTGAGGAAATTAAACAGGTTTATCCTGCCTGACAAACCCCTAAGAATGCCTAGCTATTTCCGTAGCCAGACCTTATATCGCCATTAAACTGTCAAAATTCTCTTCTTATTGGTCATTTCTCCTCCCTGCCATGACTGAGACTGATACCCGGCCTTCAGAACTGTGGTGGTTACTGAATTTGTGGTTGTATTTTAATCTGTATTTACTGTTAGTGTGTGTGTGTGTAAACAACAACAACAATTGGTTCAAAATTTAGATTATTGGATTGTTTTCTAAGGTTGTAAACCACCTTGGGTTGTCATGGAAGGTGGCATATAAAGGCTCAAAAATTAAAAAAAATGCATCAGTTTTAATATATTTTTAATGACTTGATATGGAGTGTCTCCTACAAGGTCTCTCAAGCCCTGCTCCAGTAGCACTTTGGGGACTGACTGGATTTCTGCTACCTGCACTCACTGTGCCTAACTATGAGGGCCACACTCAACCTCCACATGCTCAATGGGTCACAACGCCAAAGGTAAAAAAAACAGGACCTGCATGCCAGAGAGCACCATATGAGTCAGAGCAGACAAGAAATATCCATACAAAAGTGGTACCTACCCACTGGCTTGAAACAAATATTTCAAGACCAGGATTGCACTACAGCTGTCTGCCTGAAGATTTCTGACAAAAACAAACAATTTTCATTGGCATGCTGTGTGCATTTCATGCACACAGGAAAAATAAATCCCAGAATTTCTTTTAAAATCCGTAATTTGGCAACCTATCTAAATTATGTGAATGACTATGGTTTGCTCCACTCACCAACTTCCCTTCCATTACCCTAGAGCAGGGGTCAGCAACCTTTTTCAGCCGTGGGCCGGTCCACCGTCCCTCAGACCATGTGGTGGGCTGGACTATATTTTTTGGGGGGAAATGAACGGATTCCTATGCCCCACAAATAACCCAGAGATGCACTGTAAATAAAAGCACACATTCTACTCATGTAAAAACACCAGGCAGGCCCCACAAATAACCCAGAGATGCATTTTAAATAAAATGACACATTCTACTCATGTAAAAACACGCTGATTCACGGACCGTCTGTGGGCCGGATTGAGAAGGCAATTGGGCCGCATCTGGCCCATGGGCCTTAGGTTGCCTACCGCTGCCCTAGAGCTTCCCCTTACTACTCCATGCAACTGTTAAGCTCATTTTTCACCTTTCCAACCTCATTTCGAAAGCCCCGCTTTGCACCTGTTTTTCTTGTTCACCTCATGCCCGTGCTTTCCTCCTTCCTTTTGTGCAACTGCCCTTGCGCAAAAACGAACCCCGTGGGCAGCCTCCTACAGCTTCCTTCTCCCACACATTGAAACTACTATGCACCCTTCCCACCTTCCACCCAATTATGAAACCACTGTTCCCTTCCGCTCGTAATAAGCCACAATTAATTTTTAAACTTCAGCAAAGAACGTTGAAGGCCTTCTTTACAGCAAACCCTGAGGCTCGCTGATAACGGAAGCTTGGATAACAACACTGTCTTCCGTTAATTGTAGGCTAATAGATGCCGTTTTCTGTGTCAGGGCAAGTGCTTCCTTGAGGCAAGAGATCTAGATTGTATAAAACTTAAGTTAAGAACCAGTTAATTGGGTGGGAGAGGGTGGGGGAAGGACAGAGGAAACTGTCTGGAAAAACCTTTCGTCACAGTTCTATATAAAAGTAGGGCAAAAGGAGGGTGATGGAACCCAGAGAGAAGGGAACACGAACTACTTTGGATAGGCACTGAAATAAGCGTAACTGCACTGCCATGATCAGCAATAGGCACAATATTCTGATATTTGTCTTGTTGCTGCTGAAGAGAGGAGGGATTTCCCGGAGAGTGGCTTATCTTTGTTTCAAACTTCAGGTGCTATTATAACCAATCCTGGTCTGATCAGGCCTACTGAAGGCTCTCTCTCTCTCTCTCTCTCTCTCTCTCTCATCCTTCAGGCATTTCTTCCATGTGCATAATGAATGGCCAAAGGGAGATAGAGGATTGCACCTGCTGGTCTTGGCCCTCCTTGACCTCCAGGTGTTCAATGGAAGCATGTGAAAGATGTGTGTGAAATATGTACAAGTACAGCAGTGTGAAAAGCATGTGCACCTGTGGATGTGAAATCTGGACATGTGCAGTGTGTGAAACCTACCTGCACAGATCCTGTCATGCAATCGCCAACCCTGCAGATTAGAGGTTTCTGCTCAATGCATGGAGGGTGGGAGCGAATATATCAGGATAAGTTGTGTTCCTGTCTTTGTTTTCAAGGAATGGGCTAACCTCACCTTCCAAATTCATATTTGTCTACAGTTGCCATTTTGATTATTGTTTTTTCCCCCTTGGCGATTCTCATAAAACCATAACTCATTTGCTCTGATTAGTGTGAGAGAAGCAACGCAAATGAATAAAGAAACACAGTAATGGACCAGTAAAAAGTCACTTACTGCTCTATTTTTGCTAAATAATGTTGCAATCAAAAGGCATTGGGTCAAAATTAAAAATCGTTAGGAAAGAGATGCCATTCTCACAGGTTAATGTTCCATGCAGACTATTGGTCCATTTATCTCAGTAGTATATGCACTGACTTGCAGGGGCTCTATGGGGTTTTCAGACAGAGGTATTCCCCTAGCTCTACCTGGGATTAAACTTGGCTAGGTCTGCATACATCTATGTGTTGATTTAGTAAGAAGTGTCCATTTAAGCCTTCTTTTAAGACAGCAGGGAGTAATGGAAGTCAGCCCACAAAAAGAGATAGGCCTAGGCATACGTGTTCAGTTTTGCTATGGTTGTTGCATCTTGCTTTCGAGTAAAGCAGTGGTGAGCTACTTCTGCCTTGATTCTCGGACACACCACTCTCCCCTCAGCCACAGTCAGATGGTATTCTGCCCATCTTCTAAGAGCTAAGAGTGGGTGGTTTGCTGCAAACTGGTAAGAGTTCCCAACTCTCTTTAGTTCAAGATTAGGATGCAAAACTGAAAGGTCTATCTATCTGTCGGCTGTCTTTGTCTTAAGGCTGATCTCTTAGCTTGAGTATTCCTAACTTGTACAATATCCACATTAACTGGGTGCCTTTGACTAGGTCTTTGTGAAACTGTAGCGGTCTCTTGGAAACCATTTTTCAAAAAGTTAACTATAGGCACAGATGTGTAGATACAGTGTGATATGAGGCTATTATTCATGGGGTATAATAAGCAATTGACTCCACTCCCCCAAACACACACACACACACACACACACGGACCTTGATGTACTTGGAAAAAGCAAAGTAGATCTCATAAGCCTGAAATCTGCCCATCCATGGTCTAAGAAGCCAAGATCAAAGTCCTTAGCAAATCCGCAGGCTGAATCCTACCAATACCACCACTATCTTTTCCATGCCACAAGACTTTTTGACGTATTATTGCTTGTTCTTATAACTTGGTCTGCTCTATCCAGTCCACATGCAAAGCCATCACTGAACCCATGTGAGAATTTCATGAATCATTAATCACAACTCCCTATTCATCATCCTCTGGGCAAGCATTCATCAACTGGGAAAAACTACAGCCTTCCTTAAAATTAAAGATAATGAATGCCGTCTCCTCACAAGGTTAGCACTTTCCCAGCACTTTGATAAATACCATTTTAAACTGGGTCTGGGGAATCGGAACTGCAATATATCAAAGTCAGGCATAACCACAGGCATCTCAAATCTAGTTCACTCTTTGGTGTTTTCCAAGCCCTGCAACTGGAGATTCTGTAGAAAGAACCTTCTGTATTCAGTCAGCCTCAAATACTTTCCAGTGCTTTGCTGCAAATGGCATCTAGCAATTTGATGATGAGCCCTAAATTAAACTGGAACACCCTTTGCTACTTATTGATTTATTTAACAATAATTACACACTGTTTGATTGTACGTGAAATGTCTAAGTGGATTACAAAAAAAAGTAAAACCACCATTAAAGTTGTCAATAAAAGACGAAGTTCCAAAATTCGAAAACTCAAAACAGAGCTAAAACTAACAATAACTAAAGCACACGTTGACATCAACATGTCAGGACAGACCTGCCTGAACAAAAACGTTTAGCAGGGAAGTTCCAAAGTATAGAGGCTGATTTCTTATAATTACATAACAAATATTGTCTGGCAGCTGTTATAGTTGCCAGTGTTTATTTTCTTTTTAACTTCCTCCACTGAACAATTTTTAATCCCTGGAGGATGACAACTCGGCCTAATGGCTTTGTATTTTGCTTTGTATTTATAGTAATTTTGTTTTTATTTGTTATTCTTAGCCACGTTGAGCTTATAAAGGAAAGTTGAGATATAAATGCTTTAAATGAATGAAACAAACCACCACACAGGACCACAGGCCAACACACATCAACAGGGCCACAGCTGGACTCCCAGCTGCTTCTGATACCAACCACCTCACCAGATTCAGGAGCCATGCTGAATTGGAAAGTTTTCCAATGTGCTTCAAATGCAAACTGAATTCACGGAGAGTATCTGATTAGTGCACTGGAGAAGGTTTAAAGAAGTCCCAGAACTGAAAGGGGTGAGAAGGTGCCATGTGTGTTTCTGCATTGCTCTCGGTGTGTTACTAATCAAACGATTAAAATGGGCTCGCCAAGATGGAGGAGAATCGCGTATTTATTCTCAACCTTCCAATACACTCCAATACACTTTGAGATATATTTAAGGCTGCAGAATCATCCGCCAACGGAAGAAGGAAGAAATAAAAGAGACAACAGAGCCAGTGCTGGCAATGCATTCGAAGAGAGGCACAGAAAGTAGAGAGGACCAATAACTGTTTGGGGTTAGGTGGCAATTTAACATGTCTTGCCTGCACCCCTCCCAATGCAGCTAGACTTAAAACAGGAGTAGCAAACATGATGCTCTTGGGAAGTTGTCAGAATCCATCATAGATTCATAGAATTACAGAGTTGAAAGGACCCCGAGAATCATCTAGTCCAGCGGTTCTCAACCTGTGGGTCTCCAGATGTTGTTGGACTACAACTCCCATCATCCCTGAGCTCTGGCCTTGCTAGCTAGGGGGGATGGGAGTTGTGGTCCAACAACATCTGGGGACCCACAGGTTGAGAAAGGCTGAATTCTAGTCCAACCCGCTGCAATGCAGGAATGTATCCCTCACCTTTGGCCATGCTGGCTGAGGCTGATGGAAGATGGAGTCCAACAACATTTTGGGGATGGGGTGGGGAGAGAATCATGTTGGCTACCCCTGGTTTAAAACAACAACTAATGCAGAAACTGGCTGATGCAACATTCCCAATATCCTAACCATGGAGATCCCTCTACATCTCTTGAATGAATGCCCACCTACATTACCTTTTCTCTTTTTTCCAGGGCAACACTACATGCAACAATGCTAGTCATATTTCTATCCCTGTTGCAAAACCGTGGCTAGCATTAACACTGATGTCCACGTCCACCATGGTTAACTGCGACAGGGGAGAAATTCATGCAAAAGGAGGACAAACGAAAGGGATGGAGGCTGCAACCTGGTGGTGCATCACCCAGTGGCTCATATAACAATTGTGTACTTTTTCCATGAAAGCACCAAATATGCACCATTTCTTTTAATACATGGTGGCCATTTTCAGATATTGAGGCATATGGTATTGCACATATATGCACATGCATAGCCAACTGAAATGTATTAATAGTCCACAAACGTTGCAAATTTGGGTGCTTTTATGAATAAGTGCATGACCACTGAACAGGGCAGCTAAGCCAGCACATTAGGAAGAATCACTTCTCCTTGCAGAAGGCAAGCATCATTTACCATGTAATTATACAATATTTGCAAAAGCAAGTTTTTCAAAGGCGTAATGACCAAGATAGCAAATGTAGAAAGGGAATCTTAAAAGACTGGATTCTGTCCTACCTTTACCACCCACTTACACTGTGATCTTTAGCAACTGATTTAAATGAGGCTTCCTATTCTGAGAGCAGGCGAGGGTGCTAAATAATACATCCCGAGACTGAATTCCAAAAGCATACAGTGTGCTGCTTACTGCAGACAACAGGAATGTAAGCTGTCAAGTGATTTGAAGCCTGCTGCAACCCCCCAGCCCCCCCCCAAGTAAAGGCACATTTCGCCATCTTGTCTCCCACACCCTGGCCAAAAATGGTATCTTGGCTTTCATCTGAAAACTGAGAATAAATGACAGCACTTCACCTCCCAGAGTTGCTTTGAAGATAAAAATCAATAGCGTTTGCAAAACACTCAGCTGCTCATTTCTTTTATGTCAATGAATGGCACTGGGGAAGTTAATAAAATTGCTGTTGAGTGAAGAGATTGACTCCCTTTTGTATAGGAGGCTAAATACAAGATTTAGAATCCTAACATTGGACAACGTTGACCTTTACCCATGAATTACATAATGTGAGTGTGTGTGTATCTGTGCGTGAATATCTGTGTGGTCTAGCGGAGAGACTATAGATAGGGAGAAGATCAAGTTCAATTCCATGTTTAAGACATAAATCTACTTGCATACTGCGGAATGTGGGTGTCTACATACTATTTGCAACCTGATATTTCTCTCTTTGCTTTGAACATATTAACGAAAGTCCCATTGCGGGTTGCTACTTAGCCACAATTTTACAAACTAGAATTGCACCTTCTTGGCCAGCTGTTGGAGCTAGAAGTTTTAAAAGTTGGTCCGGTAGGGGGGCGAGGATGCCATGCTATCATGGCACAAGAATGAGCAACAAGGCATCACATGGAAGCAGCGCCCGTAGTTGTGTCCATGGATGCAATGTTCAAAAGCATGTACTATAAAAGTGTGTGCCATGCTGCATTCATGTGTCTGCCTGCCTGATGCTGTACAGACAAAGCAGCCAGCACAGAATAGATGCCAAGCATCTCCCACCTGGTAGAATTCATCATTAGAAACATTCATAGGAATGCAGGAAGCTACCTTAGACCATCTAATTCAGTGGGTCTCTGGAGTCTGGGGAAGGCTCCTGGAGATTCTGCGGACTGATTCTGAGGCCACCTGCCTGGGAAGCAGATGCTCTAGTCCTGAGCAATAGCCCATCTTCCTTGCCATTTATTCCATGCTTCTTTCAGACACACAGTACCCGTTTAACAAAGGGACCATCACTCAGTGGCAGATTGGAAGTTCAACCCTTGCCATCCCTCATTAAATAAAAACCAGGCAGCAGGTGATGGGAAAGGCTTTCTGCTTATAGCTAGGCTCAAATAGGCGAAGAAACAATCTGGGTCGGTAGAAGGTGGCTTCCTATGTTCCTATATATTCCCTTGCTCAAGAGGATGCTACCAGCCTTGGCAGACAATCTGAAATGTAGAATTAAAGGTTCTGCAGGACACTCCATAAGTCTGCACAGGCAAAGAAGCATCCCTTCCACAATGACTTGACCCAAGGCACCAGAATTTAGGAAAATGAATGGTGGCAACCATTAGCCACATGCAAGGATATAGCACATATCTTGCAAAAACCTTTATGGCAGGCCTCCACAAGTTGCGATGTAGCAAACAGACTGCGGCCCAGACACAGACAGCCATATATTGTCACCTGCTAGGTGCTTGGGCTTCTGTCCCCACCACAGATTTTGCAGTCTCCAAAACTGAAGTCCCTAAAGGGACCCCTAACCATTAGGTCCAGTCGTGGCCGACTCTGGGGTTGCAGCGCTCATCTCGCTTTACTGGCCGAGGGAGCCGGCGTACAGCTTCTGGGTCATGTGGCCAGCATGACTAAGCTGCTTCTGGTGAACCAGAGCAGCGCAAGGAAACTCCGTTTACCTTCCTGCCGGAGCAGGACCTATTTATCTACTTGCACTTGACGTGCTTTTGAACTGCTAGTTTGGCAAGAGCAGGGACCGAGCAACGGGAGCTCACCCCGTCTGTGGTTTTAACTCACAGCGCCACCCGCGTCCCTCTGAAGTCCCTAACAGGCCACCAAAAGAAGGCTGGGGGGGGGGCAGGCAGGGCCAACTCTATTGTTGGGCAAAGTGAGGCAGCCATCTCAAGCAGCAAAATTTTGGGAGGATGGACAGCCCACTGCCCTCTGGTGGAGTGGAAGACACTGTCCCATCAGCAGTGTTGAAGTAAGATTCAGTTGCCAGTCTTTTCAGTTTCTGTACATGGAACGGGAAAGGCACCATTTTGACTTTTGTCTCAGGCGGTAAAATTATCTTGAGCCAGTTCTGCTGGTTGGTTATGTTCATTATGATGGGCAACAGGTTTTTGAGGCTTCTTCTCAAATTTCTCCATTGTTGATTTCATACTTGAATGTTTCGAAATAAGAGGATTGGGTGTGTATTTAGCACTTTTCTGGCTCTCAGACAAAGCACAAGGAAGCAGAACAACGGAGAAAAATTTTGATCACCCCATCCAAAGGTGATGGGCAGAAGAAGCGTTTTAAGTATGTGGTCCACCAAAAATCCTACAGAAATGATTCAGAACAGCAGAAGAAATGCCTGTTAGGTAACTTTTGTGAACAGAGAAACCTTTGACAAGTAACAAAATGCCTCTGCATTTATTTGAAATCGACTCCCCTGTAAGGAAGTCAGTATTTATCACCAGACATACAGTGGTACCTCGGGTTACATATGCTTCAGGTTACAGACTCCGCTAACCCAGAAATAGTACCTCAGGTTAAGAACTTTGCTTCAGCAGGAGGCCCCATTAGCTAAAGTGGTGCTTCAGGTTAAGAACAGTTTCAGGTTAAGAACAGACCTTCGGAACGAATTAAGTACTTAACCCGAGGTACCACTGTATAGCGAGGGGGAAATATATATATATATATATATATATATATATATATATATATATGGAGAAAGGCAAGACTACTTAATGAGACTTGTTTGCCTAAGATAAGCTGGCAAGTTAATAAAGGTGAGCTTTTGGACTAGGGAATCAAATTCTTCATCACACTACACAAACTCTCTTTTTCAGTATTTGTGGCAAAGGAGGGATAGTTTAAATCTGGTTTTCCAACCTGGTGCCCAGATGTTTCCAATTACAACTCCCATCTCTCTCCGCCAGCACAGCTTCCTGTGGCGGATGGGGGTTGTATTCAAAACATCTGGAAGACACCAGGTCAGGAAGACTGGCTTAACAGCTTTTCTTTTCTCTTCTTCTCTTCTCTTCTCTTTCTCTTTCTCTTTCTCACTCACCCACTCACTCAAGTACATCTTTGTGCTTATCAACCAAGTTGTCTGCTCACTTTAAAATTCATTTTTAATTCTCCTCATCCTCCACCTCCTCTGTCTGCCCTTGACAACCTACGTAGTATAAAGCAATGTGTGTATGATTGACAGGAGGTCACTGGCTG